CGAGTGCCACGCTAGTAGTAACAAGTGCCTTACTAGTAGTAACAAGACGACCGAAGGAACGAAGGGGTGGAACGCACGCGGGGTGGAACGCGGGGTGGACTGACAGATCCTGCTGGGTCAGAGGCGCAGGTGATCCACTCGTCTCCATACCGAATAGGCGTTTCTTCAATACCTAGACTCTCCATATGGGACTGCCATATATGCCGATCAGTTGGGGTGGTTTGGGGGGGTCAATTAATGTAGGCATATATGGCATACATGGAGTGTCTGGGATACCTAGACCTTCCCAGACATGGACAATGGGTATCGGTGGCTTCTGGTACTTCTGGTCCTGGTATTGACATAGAAGAAAACCACCCGGCGACGAGACAGTCCGCGTCGACCCGCATGAACCCGACGAGACGATCGACCCGCCTTCAGGTGAAATAAGGATCATCTCGCCCTGCCGCGAGTGTTGACCCTAGCGCCAACCCAGTTGGGTTCAACGAATTCAAAAAAACAAACGGACCCCAGTCTTGGATTGTCATGAGGAACCAGGAAAAGTCTATTATATTCCCCCAGAAGGGAACTCATCCACATAAGGGACATGTAAAGATCACGAAATGATAAAGCCGTGGACCATCTGAGTGGCAGTCAGCTTGCGACACTTTCCCAGCAGCTCGCTTCTTTGGTCGACACTGGGGTGCGCTGATTTGTTGATTTCTGCCAGGTCGATGGACCTGGCGCCTAGTGGTCATCCAATTCCAAGGGTTGGCAAAAGGAGTTGGCATACGCTGCATACGCTTCAGTCCAGTCTTCTGGACCCAAAAAACGGTCAAAACGCGCTGTCTCCTGCTCTTGGTCACCCGTGGAAGCTGCATTGGGCAACCATCTCCCTGTAACTTTGCAATTCCCTTCGAGATCTTGGAGACATCCATGTGGAGAGAAACCAAATCAGAAGAGACTGTCCGACTCCCTCGATGTCCGTGGAAATAACATAGAATCAATTCCTTCTCCCACCTATTCATTTCTCGAGAAAGCATTTCCCCCCAAAAGGTTTCCAGATGTTTCCAGGTTCTCCACTCACAGGGTCAACTGTGCACGTCCTGCTGGCCAGTGGCCATGACTTTCACAACCCCCGCCTGTGGCCTTTCCAGTCGGACCTTAGTCCCATCCGGTGGGGGAACCCGTTCGAAGTGCGAGGGATGGTTTTTTTCGTCAAGCGAGGCTTTCGTGGAACATGGCACTTGCTGAGGAGATTGGTGGAGGTCACTCAAAGGATGACTTCGCATGTCAAACTGGATGTGTCTGCCACGATTTCTTATGTCGACTTGGGTTTTTCAGAAGGGTTCACCATGATTTCAACCGCCAGTCTGGATCCTACAGCATGACTTAATTAGTACTCACCTCTGAAAAACACAAAAAAAATTGGATCCCAGAAATCACCCAAACGGTCACGTCTGAAACCGATGCATGGTTACACCCTTCACCTGAATAAGCGACACGAGGTGCGGACCGGAGCTGGATGGATGGGAAAGGCTCACTTCCCGCCAAATGGCATCCATGCTAGCAATGCTGATGCAGATTTCAAGAAGTCCAAACATCCCAACGACGCCAGCTGTGTATAAGAAGACCCCAGCCATTCGTCGCTGCCAGCCGCCAACCTCGTGGACACCTAGAAAATGAACCTGGCACGTCTGAACCTGGCACACACGTGCCAACAGACCACACCTCCACGGTCCCACTCTCAGCTCCCCACGGAGGCTCGGAAGCTCTCGCGTGCGAGAGACGGCTTCACCAGGCCGTTGACCTTGGACACCGGCACACCACCCACTGAGCTGGACGATGGTGAGATGGGTTGGCTTGGACAGCGCAAGTCGGACGGAGGCTTGGGGAGCTTTTGTTTGGACATGGTTGCGATTAGACCCAACAATCCCCAAAGGGTACAACAAGTGATGTCTGATGTTGACCTGCCAAAGCTGATAGACGGCGCACATCGTCTGAACACAACTAGACGACGAGTGGCCCGAAAGAATCTTTCATCACGTAGGAAGTCAGAGTGTGAGTTATCTGTTAAGTGTTCAGTGTGAAGTGTTAAGTCGAGTGAGTTGAGGCAGTGTGTGGGTCTGTGTGTGTGTATCTATGTCTGTGTGTGTATGAGTCTCTGTCTGTGTGTGTGTCCGCGTAAGTTGAGGCAGTGTTTGGGTCTCTGTGTGTGATGTGTGTGTGTGTGTGTATGAGTCCCTGTCTGTGTGGGTCTCTGCTCCCCAGGTCCTCCGCATCGAAAGCTTTACTACGAAGTCGCCAGTTCTCATCTTTCAGCTCCCCAGCTACTCCGCGTACTACAATTGTACTACAAAGTCGCCAGTACTCCTCTTCCAGCTCCCCAGATACTCCGCGTGCTGAAGCTGCACTACAAAGTCGCCAGTTCTCATCGTCCAGCTCCCCAGATACTCTGCGTACTAAAGTTCTACTACAAAGTCGCCAGTTCTCAGCTTCCAGCTCCACAGATTGCTCCGCGTACTAAAGTTGTACTACCAAGTCGCCAGTTCTCATCTTCCAGCTCCCCAGATACTCCGCGAACTAAAGTTGTACTACCAAGTCGCCAGTTCTCATCTTCCAGCTCCCCAGATACTCCCGCTACTAAAGTTGTACTACAAAGTCGCCAGTTCTCATCTTCCTCATCTTGCAGCTCCCCCGATACTCTGCGCACTCAAGTTGCACTACAAGGTCGCCAGTTCTCAGCTTCCCGCTCCACAGATTGCTCCGCGCACTAAAGTTGTACTACAAAGTCGCCAGTTCTCAGCTTCCAGCTCCACAGATTGCTCCGCGTAGTAAAGTTGTACTACAAAGTCGCCAGTTCTCAGCGTCCAGCTCTCCAGCTACTCCGCGTACTACAGTTGTACTACAAAGTCGCCAGTTCTCATCTTCCAACTCGCCAGATACTCCGCGTGCTGAAGCTGCACTACAAAGTCGCCAGTTCTCATCGTCCAGCTCCCCAGATACTCTGCGTACTAAAGTTCTACTACAAAGTCGCCAGTTCTCAGCTTCCAGCTCCACAGATTGCTCCGCGTACTAAAGTTGTACTACCAAGTCGCCAGTTCTCATCTTCCAGCTCCACAGATTGCTCCGCGTACTAACGGTTTACTGGCCAGTCGCCAGTTCTCAGCTTCCAGCTCCACAGATTGCTCCGCGTACTAAAGCTGTAGTAGCAAGTCGCCAGTTCTCATCTTCCAGCTCCCCAAATCGCACTCTCGCCTGCATTTCGCGCACTCGACACGCGTGATCTCCGCAGAAGGTTGCGCACGACCGGACAGATCGCACTCTCGCCTGCATTTCGCGCACTCGACACGCACGATCACCGCAGAGGGTTGCGCGCGGACCGCACCAATCGCACTCTCGCCTGCATTTCGCGCACTCGACACGAACGATCTCCGCAGAGGGTTGCGCGCGGACCTCACCAATCGCACTCTCGCCTGCATTTCGCGCACACGACACGCACGATCTCCGCAGAGGGTTGCATTTTCGGTTGACGCTGTTCGTCCCACCCTCCGCCTTTAAGAGAGAATTTATAAAGTGGGGAAATGTTCTTCATTAGGACATCTCCCATGCAAGGTTTCCATACTCACACTTGCATACTCATTGCATACTCATTAGGACATCTCCCGTGCAAGTTTTCCATACTCACACTTGCATTACACTTGCATGCATACTTTTGCACTTGGATACTTGCTGTTGGATGCTTTCACTCTTCCACTTACACTGGGATACGTATAGAAGTGTAAGTGTTCATGTTCAAGTGTAAGTGTGGAAGCGTAAGTGTTCAAGTGTACGTGTCGAAATGTCAGTGTTCAAGTGCAAGTGTGGAAGTGTCAGTGAGTGAGTGTAAGTGTAGAAGTGTCAGTGTTCAAGAGATTTTCCGGAAGAACGCTTCGCAATGCTTTCGGGAAAAAGAACATGGTCACGTCTCTCAAAATCCATCACAAGAGTTGGTTCATGATTTCACCTATCCTCTCACTTAAAGCATCTTAAAAGTTTGCCAAAAGGTGCGTGATTAGAAATTATGGTTGCCTGCCTATTCTCCCCTCAAAACAAGCACACCTGAGACCTTCACAGAGTAAGTCTGGGCACTTTGGATGAGGTTGGTTCAAACCTTCTCTCAACCCTTTTGTAGCCCAATCATTTTCCATGTCAATACATGGGAAGTCAAAACGCTGGCCCGCTGTGGAGAAACGCTGCTAAACACGTCAAGAGTTGTTTGCCCACCACATATGAGTGAACCCCGGTTCCTTACCCTACAGCACTCATGCGGTGCTTTCAAGATCCAGGTCCATCATCCCCGAAACCAAGCCACGCTCACTCTCCGGCGCGGGGCCGTACACGTTGAAGAAGCGACCAAATCCCTGCGATGTTGATGTCCGTCCGTCCGTCCGTCTTCGAAAGAAGGCACTTGAACCTTTGCACTTCCAAACGAGAAAACATATATGGATTTGGGTTGATTTGGACCAATTGATTTGGTCTTTGGGATTTGGATCAACGCCTCATATAGTCATACCCGGATTCTGATTGCATGGGACCGACATATAGTCCATCGTTTGGATGCCAAACGTCCTCCCCAATCCTTGTCGGATGACATCGCCGACATCGCCTCGGAAATCTCCAGGATCGAGGCGGTGTTGCCGAAGCGATAGCCTCGCTGAGGCGAAAGCGTAAGCGCTTCCCGTTGGGGCGCTTCCCGTGGGGTGGTTAGTTGGGTGTACTAAGAGATGAGTCTCACGGTCTCATGGAAGTGGAAAAAGAACCCATCAAACCCCTGTTTGTAGAGTAGTCTTCCAAGGGGCCATGCCATCCACTTCCATGTGATGTGTTCGTCAGAGTGTACATGTAATGTAAACGCATGTAAGACCAGCCACCCAGTTTGGGTGGTTTTCACGGGAGTCGATCAATCACCCAAACTGGGTGGTATTGCTACGTATACCATCGTATACCTGTATATTGTGCATATGGGTGGCTGTCAAAATGTGTTTCCCCCACCTCACAGGATTGGGGTAGTGGTTGGATTTGAGCTGGAAAAAAAAAAACACCCCGACTCGTGGCCTATACTGTTGCAGCGCATCACCAAGTGCAATAACAAGCACAACAAGAAACCCTGACAACACCAAACGTAAGCAGAAACAACACGACAACAAACAAGAAACAATGACACATACAAGACACAATGGCAACACCAAGCTGAACACGAAGCAATGACATGGTACACATGCCACACAAGTGGTCCGACCAAACATCACCACAGTGGTCCGACCAATGGCCCGACTACACCATTGACGCCAGAGCAAGCACGACAGCAAACAACAAGAAGCACACATAACGACAACACCAAGCTGAACTCCAACAGTGTGGCCCGGGATGCCTCCACAGGCGGGGATAGCTCAAAGTCAAGTAATTGGCCTTAAAGAATGTGATGGGAGCCCACTTTTAAATATCGTTTAAGATTCATTCAGAGTCAACACACATGTGCACATGAAGATTTGTCAACTGCAAAATCTGTGATTTGTCTAGCCTGCCATGTTTCTTGATCTTTACCATAAAGTTGCATAAAGGGGCAAACCTTTGGCACTCACACAGGCTTATTGAGGTTCATGGGTGCAAATATTTTCAAAGCAGACTTCTTGAAAGCACAGTCGCCGAGAGTCTTGCCTTCAAAAATCTACTCAAAATCAAGTCTTTCATGTTGAAGCCCCAAAAGAAATCAAGCACATCCTTTTGGCAGATGCGATTGCACATCCTTTTGCCGATCTGACTGATTTCACCATCAGCACACCAAACGGCACGCAGCAGCCCGGCCCCCCCAAAACGGCCCGCCCTGTTCTGAACGGATCCTTCGGTGAAAAAGCCAGCAAATGTCTTGATCCGTGTTTTTCTGGCTGAAAACGAAGCACTCCACGTTAGTCACATTTGCATAAAACACTCGTCCATGCCTGTCAAACGTTCGGGCATCTGCCGCGGCCTGAGGGTTTACCCAGCAGCTACATGGCCTTCAACTGTTCTGATCCCTCTCAGCGCTCCACACATCGTTCGATCTGCTGCAACAACCTTCTTTGGTGACAACTCTACATCCAAACCGTTACTGTACATTTCAAGTGGGTGCATAGCAGCAAAAAAGACTCGGAACACGGGAAAAAACGCCAACAGCATCCGTCAAGGTCCATTAAGGCATGTTGGCTAAAACCGCCTTCTTCACTTCTGAATGTCTCTCCACCAGTTCTGCGAGGCGATCCAAGGCCCCAACTCAACGTCTCCTCCACCGCAGCGCGACAAACCGCCGTGAGCTCGCTTGCGAGCGCGCCACCAACCGCCGTGAAGCGCCAAGTGCCGCGTCACCCGGCCGTGTCACCTGCTAACACCTTCACGATCCTTCACGGGTTGAGCATCAACCCCGTATAGCCATGCGCAGCCCGGAGCTTTACCAAACATGAGCCAGGGAAAGAGCGGTTATATACCTGGACAGCCAGTGGCTGCCAATTTCTATCCAGATAGATTTTGGGATATTTTCCGTCCACCAAAATAGATATACGTCCATGCCCCTCAAGTTCCGCCCACAGCAAAGCAAGCACACGGTGGCCAACTTTTGCTCAAGCTGGCTGTGGTCGAATCTTTTGGTGGTGCCTGGTCCTCAGCTTTGCTTTGAACTGGCCAATCAGGGACTTCACTTTGATACGCACACGCTCCATCACACGCACGCTGCATGTTCGTGTATTAACACGTCTAGCAATTCTAGAAACGTGGCCAACAACAGATTCATTGGCCTCACAGCTAAAGGCAAGGGGATTAAATATCTTGCACGCGTTGGAGAGCAGCTGTCTCCTCATGTCCTTCACGATGTGATCGCAAGCATGCAGCTTGGGCTTTAGCCCAAAGCCCACCACACCTAAGTTCATCGCTTCTTGGGCAAGGACCTTGTATCCCCTCACCATCACTGTCAGGTGATACTGGACGCGCTGTCCACATGTGCGTGTCATCCACAAAGGATGACTATGCAACACCTCAAACACAGTTTTTGCTGACTCCAAAGTCTCGACAACGGCACTCTCAAAGCGAGGGTGTCGAGAAGCAGTCCGGCTCCAAGTTTTCATCTGGAACAGCAACCAATGCGTCAGCAATGTTGTATCTGATCCTTTCACGTTAAACCAAGCGAAAGACTGCTCGTTCTTGTAGTTGAGCAGTTGCTTTGAAAACGAGTGAAGGGCAGGAGATCGATGGGAGGCTTGAGCCCACAGCCTGAAAAGGCTGTGGGCCCTGTTGAGCCTGGCTGGAAGGTTGCAAGCATCACCTGGCTCAAAGTCTAAGTATCCAAGTTGACACATCAAGATCAACGTCGACCCGGTCAAATCTCTTCCAAGCCCACATTTCCAGACGTGAAATAGATCAAGCCGAAATATGCCTTCTTCACATCCCGGTTCGAAAGGAATGGTGGCCAATGCTGGGGCGTGCAGCCATGGTTTTTGTGTGTACATGGTGCTGAGCCAGACTGCATCGTCGGTCACATCCTCGAATGTCACAGCTGGGTGTCCAGCCATGCAGAGGCTGCACATAGGAATGTCCTGTCTGGTGCCCGTGTTGTAATAACTCCTGGACAAATTTCCGATTTGATGATGGAACTTCAGGTCTCCTTTCACGCCGAGGGTTGCACAGTAGTAGCGCTGTCCCTGGACTTGGATGCCCTCATTGTACAAACTGGTCAAATCATCTGCGATCTTTTGAAATGCTTTGGTCAAGAGTGTCCTGTCCTTCTTGTACTGCAAAGATGACATCGAAAAACAAAGGTACTTGCTCAGGAACTCTTGCCCGGCGTCGTTCACATGCTGTTCACCAGCCAACGCAGTTGCCCTAGAGAAGTTCTCGTCCCCAAGCTGGCCAGCTCCGGTGTCACCAAACCTAGACAACGCCCCGTCAAGGTGGCACAAGCATGGCCCCTTCCGCAATTTCTTGTCCACGTCAAGCCCCAGCACCGTTTCTATTGTACACACCATCCAGTTGCTCTTCTTGACGTGACGGCCCTCGTCACCGTGTATCAGAATGGGAATTGTAGCGCGAAGCTCCTCCTTGCTTTTCTGGAATGCGGCATGACCTCCCTGATAAGACCTATAGCAGGTCCAAAATGCTTCTAACTGGTCGCCCAAGTTTTTGTCCACGCCACCAGCCAAAAGAAACACATGGTCTGCGAGCAAGACCTTCAGCCAAGAGGATGGCAGGTGAATTGGTAAGGTAATGATGCCACCATCTTCTTTGGTGTGTACCTGAAAGATGAAGACTGACCGATGCACACATTGCAACCAATGCTTAAAATTAAAACATACCATTGCGCCTATGACGTTGCCAGTGGAAAGAGAAACGCGTGAGAGCATTTAGTTTAGCTGCTAGCTCATCCAGTGGGACTTTGAGTGCATAACCAGCTCTAGTAAGAAGTGATGTCACATCTCGCGTTGCATGATCATCCCTCATGCCTTTGTTCCGGCCAACTAGGCCCGGATTGGCCTTTCCGACAGACCGCATGGACCGGGCGATGGACACGGCAGGGGCCTCAGCAGAAGACCACTTGCAGTACATAGACGCACTATGGGGTAAGCAAAGGCTTTTCTGAGAATTGGACCCCCCTTCCCATTTCTTCTGCATAGTGTTCCAGCAGGTTTCCATCAACGTGGCGTTGGCTATAGCCTGGCATGCTAGAGACCATTTGCGAATAAATACATCCCGACAAGTATTGTCAATAAGAACTTGGAAGAAGATGGTTTTCAATGTTTTTGCCGCTCTTCCCCAAGCAGTCCAGTGTCCAAAAGACATTGTCTCGGAGGTAATCCGCCCGAGACCAAAACACCCCTATAGCATAACTACTTGGACTTGTTTGTCCTTGACTTAGCCTTGGCTTTTGCTTTGCCGGCCGCCGTGAGGTTTGACCTCTCGTGGCGAGGATGCTTACCTTTTGCTTCATCAAGAGCATCGGTAGCGGCGCGCTTCTCAGCCCGAGAATGGTCAGCGAGTAGGGACCTGTAGGCTCCAAAGATTGGAGAGTTGTTGTTGGCTTTTAGTTTGTACCTGCAACACCTTGAACCCAACAACAAAACAATTTGACTGGAGGCCGCTGGCCTTGCGCGCGGCTCGATCATCAAAGAGTCAGCCGCCCTAAGTCCCAGGATGACACCCATGGGCAAAGAGGCAAGGGACAAGCAGTGAAAAACAGAAACCGACGACTCTTTCCACAAGGTCATTTCCAAGGACATGTTTAAAGAGACACAGCTTAGGGAAGGACGTCTTCCGAGCAGCCTTGATTGCTTCGGACATGTTGGTTTCCAACCTGGGCACAATGTCAACAGCTGAAACCATGAACACTATGGGACACATCCAGATTCAACTTACGAGCAGGTAACGTTGGGCCGAAGCCATCCACAATCCCCGAGCTATACAAATCGTTCAGCGCGTCCATCTTTTTGTCAACCTCAATAGTGAACTGGGACAACTTCTCGTTCATCCTCATGAGGATTGCGTTGTCAGGTGGCACTCAAGCAGGAAAGGTTTCATGAACAAAGATCTTGACACAAAGTTGGTTTTACTGTGTAGATAAGGCTCTTGGTGAGCAACGGTGACGGGTTCTTGCACTGTTTGAGTTTGTCCCGAAGCTCGGTGATTTTAAG